CCACAGAGGTCAGAAGACGGAGATGGACTCCCTGAAGCTGGAGTTACCGGAAGCTGTGAGCTGCTCAATGTGGGTTCTGGGGATCAAACTCCAGCTTCTACAGGAGCAGCAAGCTCATGGCTGCTGAGGCATCTCTCCATCCCCCATCTCTGGTTTTCTGAGAAACTTCCACACTGGTTTCCACAGTGGCTGGACTAGTGTACATTCCGATCAGTCAGCTATAACCACCCAGAATTTTCCTGCTGCTTTGTTCCTTCTCTCGTCCTAATGGTGCTCGTACGATTTCACAGCACAGGCTTTGAAACTCACTGACTTGGTGCCCCGTGTTTGTTGCCCATTGGTTTGCTTAGAGGTGACCAATCCCGGTACAGCCCTGCTCAGGCTCTGTTCAGCCTCTTGAGCAGAGCTCACAGCCCTTCCTCCAGTCTGCTTTCACTGCCCTCCGCCCCTTCCCTTCACGACTGCCTGTCTCTCCACTCTTTTCCATCCTTCCTGCGCACCCACAACTCCATCCCTCTGCTCAGAGTGAACATTCCTCCCTGAGCTCTCCTCCAGTTTTCCTCCCTATCTCCTCTGCTAAAGCTTGACCCCCTCCACGCCCCCAGATCACAAGAATCTTTCCATGCCAAGCATTCATAGCCCTTACAGCCTACTGCAGTCTGAATGTGCTTCCCAGCGTTCATGAGCTGGAAAACCGACCCCAAAGCAAAAGCCTTGAGAAGTGGGACCTTGGAGAATTAATAAGGTCATGTGGCTTTGCCATTATGAATGAACTAGTGTTGTTTTGTTACAAAAGTGAGTTCAGTCTTGCTTAGCAGCTCACAGCCATTCCTCTCACCGTGAAATGCCATCGGCCGTGTGATGATGCACAATTGAAGACGCTCACCAGAGGTGGCTCCTCCGCCTTTGTCTTTCCATCCTCCAGAACCATAAGCCTAACAGACTTTTCTGGTGTGTAACTTACCCAGGCCATTCTGTTATAACAGCTATTCTGTTATAGCTACACAAAATAGGCCACGACAGCCAACCATTCCAGTAACACTGACCCTACAGACCCTGGAGCAGACTCTACAGATCATCTGACACTTTGCTTCTCTGGAATGTGTCTGAGCACTAAGTCAGACAGAAAGCAGTCTTTAATTTTCAGTTATGACACTGATTGATACAGCCTCTCTCTCCCTGCCATGCAGGAGCAATGCCTTCTGCTTCTGCTTCCCCTGGATTTCAGCAGTCTCAGCACTGGACAGACAGAAACTGTCTGTAGGAGGACTGGGAACCTATATAGGGAAGAAGGCTCAAAGCCACATTTTGGAAGGTATAATGACCTAAGGGATACAAAATTAGTCACTGGATGAAACTAGGTTAAAATTAAAATAAGAGAACAGGAGAGATGTCTCATTGAGAAGAGTGCTTGTTGCTCTTCCAAACAGTCTGGGTTCGATTCCCACCACCCACATAGCTGGTCAGAACCATCTATAGCTCCAGTTCCAGGGTACCTGATGTCTTTTTCTGTCCCCCATGGTTACTAAGCATGCACATAGTACACAGATTTACTTGCAGGAAAAATACTCAAACATAAAACAAAAGCATACATCTTTTTAAAAATTAACAAAACTGGGGGCTGGAGAGATGGCTCAGAGGTTAAGATCATTGCCTACTCTTCCAAAGGTCCTGAATTCAATTCCCAGCAACCACACAGTGGCTCACAACCATCTGTAATAAGGTCTGGTGCCCTCTTCTGGCCTGCAGATATACACACAGACAGACTATTGTATACTAAACAAACAAATAAATAAATATTTTTTAAAAATTAACAAAACTGTAAGTATGTGGCTGTACCGTGAGTTACTCCACACTGACTACCACTAACGTGGCTGATAATTTGAAAATAGGAAGCAGCAATCAATTTAAATTCTTAAATTCATGTTCTTTTGAGCAGCTACCTTTGCCCACTTTGGAAGAAGAAAAAAAAACTCTCCAGTATAGTGGGAAACTATATCCACTTTCTCCTGAGGTGGAGTAGCCAAAGTCACAGTATGTTCACAGTCCCCTGGCTTCCTATAGTTGAGACTGTGTAAAAGCACATACACACAGACATTCCATTTTCACTTTCTGATACACAATAAAAAAAAAAAAACACCTTGTTTTAGGTGATGCTGTCCAGTGTAGATAAGATTAATGTAATTATTCTGAACATATTTGAGATAGGACCAGTTATAGTGCTAAGCAGGCTAGGTTTGTCAAAGACATCTTGGTTTATGACATTTTTATTGGAACAAAGGCCATTTGAGTCAGTGAGCACCTGTACTGTGTGGCCCTAGAGTTAAGGAAAGATGTTTCTGTCCAGCACACTAGGAACTGAAAACAGGGTACAGACCCTGGACATCACTGTTAGCACTTGCTCCTGTCCATGCTCAGCAGTTTCTCCCAAGTAGTTATCTAGTGCACACCTGCTATGTGCTGTGCTCCCCTCTAGTGCACAACTAATATGTGTTGTGCTCCCATCTAGTGCACACCTACTATGTGCTCCCATCTAGTGCACACCTGCTATGTGCTGTGTCCCCCTCTAGTGCACAACTACTGTGTGTTGTGCTCCCATCTAGTGCACACCTACAATGTGCTGTCCTCCCGTCTAGTGCACACCTACTATGTGCTCCCATCTAGTGCACACCTGCTATGTGCTGTGTTCCCCTCTAGTGCACAACTACTGTGTGTTGTGCTCCCATCTAGTGCACACCTACTATGTGCTCCTATCTAGTGCACACCTGCTATGTGCTGTGCTCCCTGCTACCATGGCCAGGACATGGTCTTCCTACAGACTGAGAGGGTTAGCATCAGGAATGCTCTCATTTTACAAGAGGGAGCTTTGTTCCAAGGAGTTAATAACCCGACCAAGTTGCAATTAGCAAACTGCAGGTTTAGTTTTAGACCATGGAGGGTACTGGCATTCAAGTCCACCAGCTTTCTACTTTTTCAGGCTGTCTCTCAGGACTTGGTGTATATTTTATGCACTCATGACTAAACTAATGACCTGAAGACTTGCAGTTCTGAGAAACATAACTACCATGGCCATGCAGGGTAGTAATCCCTGAAATTCAAAGCTGGTGTGGCCTAAGTTCTGGAAGGGAGTGTTCTAGAAGGGAGATCTGAGATCCTTCATAGCTTCTGCTGATGCTCTAAAACTCCTCTTGTTCTAGATAGTTACCTGGTGAAACCTTCAGTCCTTTGCAACTCAAGTACACAAGGGCAAGACAGCCATGGGGCCATCCTCAGCCTTCTCCACTGGGCTGGGCAGTCACTGCTCCAGTGAGTGGTGGCTGCCCACAATCTGATAAGCATGTTCAAATCCTGTCGAAACCTGATGCCGAGTAAATCACCCGCAGTACGACATGTGCAATGATCCGAGACTAAATTCGGGATGAATGACAAAGAGCATGCACAGAGAAGATGGCGGGCTGCTCAGAACCTTCATCTCCTCAGTTACCAAGTACTTCTGTGATCATAACTGGATCCTGCCACTCACCCAGGAAACCCAGGCTAACAGGTCCCAGTCATCACTCTGTTACACAGAGGCTAATAAATGTTGTTCTTGATGGATTACGACTCTGTGAAGGATGCTAACTGCTGCAGACTCTCTTACTCATATGTCAACAGTGCAATACTCTCCCGTAACTCACAGTTTTCCAAGGTACTAAGAGATAAATGTAAAAAAAAAAAAGAAAAAGAAAAAAAAAGAAACAAAACAAAAACCTTACATTGTGCCCAAGGGAGAGCACCACCTTCAGTGTTGATTTTTCTAGCCATGTGCTATTTGGACTAACATAGCTATACTTTGACATTTCTAATTATTTGAGAACACTATTTAAAGAGTTCTAACAGCCAAAAGACTCAAGTAGCGGCCAAGGCATTGCTGCTCCTTTTAAAGCCTCCCTTATCTTCTTCCATCTGCTTGTGGTGCTGTGGACTGAGTCCATGCCTCAGGCACGCTGGGCAAGCACTGTATCACCGAGCTACTTTCTCCTCGCCTCTTTTCATAGAGGGTTTTTCTGCATGTTGACAAGCACATTTGGGTTCAAGCGCAAAACTTTTCCTCCAAGAAAGTTGAGAGTTATCCTGGGAGTGCCGTAACAGTCAGCTCTGGGCAAATCAGCACCAGGAGTGCTGTTTGGTGGCAGTCACCCTTCCACAGAACCACTGTATACAGGCAAGAGTGGAGGTTGGCCATCTCGCTTGGCCTAAGCAGGACACCATAGAAAGGACTCCCAGCCCTCGTGCCCACTATGGAGTGGTCAAGAGAGGCGAGACTGTCATCAGCTCTCCCTTCTCACAAAGCATCTCCTGAGCCTCCTTTTCTAACGTGTTAGACTGAGAGGAAGGCCAGGCCACAGCACAGAGCAGCATTCTGGTCAGCAGACCTGCTTGGGGACCACCCAACAAACTGAGGGTTCAGCCAGAAAATGCAAGGGGAAGAGACATTCCGGTGATTTTGATTTTTAAAAGAGAAACATATATAAGGAAAGAAGGAGGAGGAGAGGGGGAAGAAGGGGGAGAAGGAGCAGAAGAAGAAACAGGAGGAGACAATGCACAAAGCCATGAGGCTGGCTGGTCAACCATGGGTTAACATCAGTTTCAGAGAAGCACACAGTAACTCAATGTCTCTGCAGAGCCCCGAGTCCCAGGGTGAAAGGCATTTTTATTTGTGGAAACAGAACGGTTTCCTTCTTTCACCACGGACTCTCTCTTCTCTCATTTCTTTATTTTTGCTCTGTCTAAACCCCAAATTTGGACCATCCATCATTTTAACCTGCCCAGAATTTTCATCTTTCCAGAGCCAAAGAGCAACAGATTCCGGGTCCAAAGAGCCCTCTCCCACAGCCGGCTGCCACCAGCCCTCTCCTCCCAGGGTTACAGGGTGCTCAGAGCAGACCATGTCAGCAGGACGTGCCACACACAGCAAGTCACCAAACCAGAATGCACTAAAGGGGTTCCAGAGGACTTACTCGTACTTGTGCTGGTTCCAATCGTGTTGATTGTGGTGGGGACGGATGACGCAGAGTAGAGGGGCACGTGGCCATTCTCACAGCCCAGGCTTTTGTCCTGCCAGTTGGAGGCGCTGATGCAAATCCCAGAATCCCGAGAGTTCTGCCACCCATTGAGCCTGTCGTCTGAGTTCTGTCTTTGGTGATAGTAGTGTGTCTGTCCGTAATCCACAGAGTCCGAGCGGCCTCGGTTCTGGCTGCCAAAGCTGGTCGATGTACGGTCCTCCAAATGATTTAGCCACATGGCGAGAGCACTTCGGTCTTCTAAGGAAGTGGCCGGGTGGATCAAAGCATAGGACAGCAGCTGTCTGCTCTCCTCAATGTGCTGGTTGTGTTCGATAGAGTGCGCCAGGATCTTGGGCAGCAGTTTCATATACTCTACTTTAGCGTCGAGGTTTCCTGGCTTCAGCAAAGGCAGGTGAGTTAACAGAAGGGAAATCACTTTATCCTTGGATTCCTGTTGCCATTGGTTAATGATTCCTGAAAGGGAAAGTACACAGGACATGTAAGCAAATACACCCACAATCACACTAAACAACACACTGTAAATTTCTGTGGTTTAGAGTCTCAGCTGAGACACCGTGCCTAAATGTCCTCAAGACTGTCTGTGTATAAGACTGGATAACTGTCTTAAGGTTTTCAGGGGCCAGAGACCTCAATGATATATAGTTCAAACACTCTCGGAGTGTGTAGAAAGTACAATGCGTCCCAGCCCTCACAGGCCCCACGCTTGATCCATTGCACTGGGTGTAGTGGTGAACACCTGTAATTCTTGTACTTGGAAGGTAGAGGCAGGAGAATCAGCTCAACTTTATCCACTACTATTTAGGCAGCATGAACTACATGAGACTTTGTCTCAAAAAACTAAATTATTGGGACTGGAGAGGTGGCTCAGTGGTTGAGAGCACTTGACTTCTTTTCAAGAGGTCCTGGATACACGCACAAGGTGGCTCACAACTGTCAGTTACCCCAGTCCCAGAGCATCTGACATCCTCTTCTGGCTTCCTCGGGCACTCTGCACATAGACTGTGCACAGACACATGTATAGGTAAGCACATATACATAAAATAAAAATTAATAGAATCTCCATTTTTCAAAAAGGTTTAAAAAGTCAACAAATCAATGCTCAGATGTTTTGGGGTCTTTAATTCTCACTCATATCTCCAAAGAAGTTTGGTCCAACCAAAAAGAATTGGCAGCTGTGTCTTCCTTCTTAGACAAGACCAGGCACAGCCTTAGATAGACAAGGGCCAGGCTAAACAAATTTGGAGGAATCCGTGGAGTGAAGCAGCCTCCCTGTTCCAAGCGTCTGTTGAAAGTGTCTCAAGTGCTGGAGAAAGGACGTGTATGAAGCTGGTTCGACTTCCTACATAGAAGACGTTAGGAGAAAAGGACCCAACACTGTGTCCAAACCCTAGCTCTGCCAGCTGCAGCTTTTCTTATAAGAAAACAGAGCAGAGGAGCCAAGCTCAGCTCCAAGAACACCTTGGATCACACTAGTAAATTATTCATCTTTATATGAAGATGTTCGTGGGATTTTTTTAATTTAAAATGATATTGGTATGGTTGCATGAGTGCAGCACATGTATGCACATGCATGCTTATGTGTGTGGAGGATGGGGACAACATTGGATGTTATCCTAAGGAACATCATCCACATCCTTTGGGACAAGATGTCCCCAGAGATCAACAGCTAGGCTAGGCTGGGCTGGCCAGTGAGCGCCAGGGATCCCCCTGTCTCTGTCTCTCTGGGGCCAGAATTACAAGCATGCATTGCTATATTTGGCATTTTCACCTGGGTTCCTGGGATTGAACTTGGGTCTTCATACTTACAAGCAAGCACTTTACCAGCTAAGCTATCCTGCCAGAGCCGAGATCTCTTTGTTCTCGCTGTGACAAAATACACATCCTAGTAAGCATTTTAAACACACAGTTAGTTCAGTGTCATTAAGGACAGCACAGTGATATGAAATCTCTCTGAAGACCTTCGTTACTTTCCAGATAGAAAATCTCCCACTCCTTTTCCTAGCCTGTGGAAGCCACCATGCCATTTTCTATCCCCAAGAACCCGGTTATTCTAGGGACCTCAGTGATTGTCTTTTTGTTTTTTGAGAGAAGGTCTCTCACTCAGGAGCCCTGGCTTGCCTCAAATTCATAGTGACTCTTGACCTCAGCCTCCTCTGTGCTGAGACAGCAGACATGAACCACCCTGCCCAGTTATCCCAATGAACACCTCGCTTCACAGACCGGTTCCTCAAGGTTCCAGCATGTGAAGAACTGGTCTTTGCTTCTTCTGTCCCTGCCTCATTCAAATGACAAGCGATGCTTGCTGACTGCTTGTTTTGGCGGAGGCCAGTCATCCACAGAGCTGGGCATCCCCACTGGCTTTCACACAGTGTCTTCAGGCTGGCAGGAGTTAATTATAAGCTGCAAACTCATGGGTCTCGTCACAATAATTTCAAAGAAAACATCTCAGTGTTGTGGCTTCATCTAGAGTCCCCTGAAGGTCCTATGTTAAAGACTTAGTCCCCGGTTTGGGGATATTCACAAGGAGTCTACTGGGAGCTTTACTGGTCACTTTGGGGTATGACCCTGAAGTTGATAGTAGAACCCTACCTCAACCTCCTCTCTTTTTGCTTCTTGGCTGTCATGAGGGACAGTTTCCTTCACCAGCCATCAAGGACTGAAATCTTCCAAACTGAGAGTCATAATTAACTTTTCCTCTTCTTAAGTGCATTTCTTCTTGGGTGTTGTGTTACAGTAACAGAAAACTAACCAACCAATCAGCACGGCAGGCATGGTGGCTAATGGAGGAGCATGGTCTTTGGAGTCAGGCATGGGACTTAATCCCAGACTTAATTTGCTGTGGGATTTTGTTACATTGCTTAACCTTTTGGAGCCTCAACTGCATCATCAATCAGTCATGGGTGACACCAACAGTTTCTGCCTCCCTTGGATTAAATGGAATGATGCCGCGTGCATTGTTCCCTCCCCTTTCTCTGCATCAGTCAGACCCATCAGTCAGAGTGATGAGGGAAGTGGCTTTGGAGATTTAGTTTTTAAACAGAGAAACCAGGGATGACACAAGGGAAACCAACTTGGAAAAAAGACAGAAGGATGAGGGAAGAAGATGAAGTCTTTGCCCTTCTAACAATCAGAAGTGCTCTTGGACTCTCTTCCTGTGGGGTTTCCTATGATGCTGAAGAGTAGCCGTGTGACGCAGAAGCCACCAACCTGAAGACAGGCCAAGGGAGACTATAGAGAAGAAATGGGTAGCCAGAATTATGAAAGGTACAGGGGAGTCATGATGGAAGGTTCTAGAATCCCTGTGGGGGAGATGCAACTGAATCCTATCAGGGCTGGGAGAGTACACCACACAGTTTCATAGAAAGATAGCAGCCACATCTAGCGCCTGGAACTTTTGCAGTACTTAAATTATAGAAGAACAACACACTATTGGATTGAACGCAACCCTAAAATATCATTTCAACATGTCATCAGTACAGATCATTGAGGAGAATCCCGGACATGTGCTATCACCAACAACATCCCCACTTGAGTGAGCCATGTTTTCACGCTCAGTCGGTGTGGCCAGCATAGGCCAGAGATCCGGATGGAGAGAGGCAGAGGGAGATGACCTCAGAAGGTCCTTCCTATCTCTCCTGTTAGCTAACTGCTGCGGATACAAGAACTTCCCTGCCCCACTAGGTAGAACCTCCCTTTCAAAGGGGACTGGAAGAGAAATACAGCTGCTCTTCTTCTTCTTTCTTCTTCTTCTTCTTTCTTCTTCTTCTTCTTCTTCTTCTTCTTCTTCTTCTTCTTCTTCTTCTTCTTCTTCTTCCTCCTCCTCCTCCTCCTCCTCCTCCTCCTCCTCCTCCTCCTCCTCCTCCTCCCATCTTACCCGTACTTTGTCAGCAAAGACCAGGCACCATTCCCTGGTTTTTGTTGAAGTTTGCAGTATTTTTGTTATTTGTTTTGAGACCATGTCTCATTTTGTGGTTCATCCTGGCCTCTAGCTCACAGAAATCCCCCTGCTCCAGCCTCCCAAGTGCTGGAACGATAGGCATGAGCCTTGAGTCTGGCACGCTTTGTTTGATGCCAAGATTTAGGAGAAGAAAGCTAGTCAGTCTCTCCCAGGCTCTCAAGAGTCACAGGGAGGAAACGGAAAGCCCTAGGGGAAGAACAGAGGGGCCATAAGCCAACAGTGAGCAGGGCAGGCAGGGTGCACACATACACTGAAAATTAAATTTGAGAGCAACTTTTTATAAAAAAAAAAAAATGAGGCTGAAGAACTTCCTAACTTCCTCCTAAATCACTTCCCTGTTTAAATATTCTGCCCTCCCACAAAAGGTCAATCTTAAAAAAAAATCAAGAACAAAAATAAAACATAAACAGGACTCAAAGTGCAAGCGAAAGACGTTATCTATCTCCAGTAAGCACTTTCTGCCAGGGATTAACCCGGGACTCGAGGGAGGAGACACAGCACAGAAGGGAAGGAAATGAGGTCTCCAGCCCTGGTCCCTTCTAGGGCTGAAGGAGCACTATTCTCTGGAATCACTCTCCAATGGTTTGAGGCTGTGGTGTAACCAGGAAGACAATGGTGGGTTTTGCTTATCCCCCCCCCCACACCCCTCCCACCAGGAATTTGGCTCTTAGGCATTTTCTGAGGCTAACCACACCTACTGGCTCACACTTCTATTGCTATAGCCATCAAGCTGACAGCTAACAGTACTGAGTGGTTTCTGTGGGCCAGGCTCTCTTGTAAGCCCTTTGCATTTAATTACTCATTGAATCCTCCCAAGGAGCTTAGCCAGAGGGGGCGGGGTGGCAGATCTTCTAGCTAACCTTATTTTACTGATGAAGGCAGAACAACTAAGTTGTCATCGGTCCTCTGTCTAGTGAAGAGGCAGAAGGGAGTAGACAAATTAGCTTACGATACAGATGGTTATCACACTAGAATGTCCGTAAGCTAGTTATTTCAGTATCTGTGCTGGAGGCATTATATTAACTGTGTATAAATACGTAGCTATAGTGACACGGCTGTGCAAACACAGGAAAAGGAGCTGCAGAGACAAGGGAGAGGACAGGTTTTTTGTTGTGGCTTTAGGGTGCTCCTGATTTCTTTTGACACTGTTCTTTGGAAGGGAACCCCATCCTCTTTCTTGAGGGGGGGGGTTAGTGAGTCGCCCGCAGTAGATGGAGATGGCAATGTGCGGTTTCAGTACCCCAAGGATGTCTTAGTTAGAGTTACTGTTGCTATGATGAAAGACCATGACCAGAAGCAACTTGAGGAGGAGGGAAATGGTTTATTTGGTTTCCACTGCCAAACACTGATCATTTAAAAAAAAGTCAGGACAGGAACATCCACAAGGCAGGAACCTGGAGGCAGGAGCTGATGGAGGCCTTGGAGGGGAGCTGCTTAGAAGCTGGCTTGCTTGCTTGTTTGTTTATTTGCTTACTTGAGACAGGGTTTCTCTGTG